ACCATCATCACCATCATGACCACCATCACCACCATCATCACCCTCATCATTTTCTGAGCATTTGCTGGGTTCCAGACACAGCACAAAGTACTCCATGTTCATTATTGTATTTAATCCTCCCAGCAGCCTTACATTATAGGTTCTACAGTTACCCCATCTGATAGGTGAGACAACTGAGGCTCAGAGAGGTTAACAACTTGCCCAAGATAAGACAGCTGGGGAGTAGTGGGAATCAGGATTTGGTGGAAGCTGGGTGTTGTGACCACATCTGGCCACTTTTTAGTGCTGAATGATTAAGCCCCCTGCAAGCTGGGGTTCTCTCCCTGTCTCCTGCAGGGCGCATGTTTTTGCTGGGGATAATTATCATGTGATTCTTGGACTCTAGTGTGCCATCTCACTGCATTTTACTAATTCTAAGACACATGTTTTTCATATTTTATCATCTTTGAAATTGGGTGTGTCATATTTAGTCTCAGAAGACATAAAATAACAGAATCAATGGCATCTTCAACTCAGTGAGAAGGGAGGGCTTAAGTTCTTGGAATTAATATGTTTCTTGTTTTATGGGAGATACTAATTGTGTTTTTGTGGCCATTGGAGTTAAAAATTAAAAAGAAAAAGCAACTTCTAGATTTGATGCACATAGAAAGCAGGGCTCAAATGATCTACTGTTGTGTAACAAATAATCACAAAATTTACCAGCTTACAACAACCATTTAATTTTATCGTGCAATTTTGTCGGCCCAGAAGGCAGCAAGGCTCATCCACTTGGCATGGACAGAGTTTCCTTGGAGGTATTCAGCTATCGGAAGGGCTGTTCCTGAGCGCCCAAGTGATGTCATTCACAAGTCAACAGGGATGGCTGGAAGGCTGGGCTGTGCTAGCAGCATCGATCAGGGCACGTGTGGCCTCTCCAACAGGTTGGCCTCAAGGTAGAAGGACATCTTCCATCTCTGGAAGCAGGTGTTCCAGGACACTGAAGCAGAGCTGCAAGGGCTTTGTTGGGATAGCTTTGGAAAGCACATGGCCCCACTCTGATCTGCATGAGAGAGACACTCACGAGGGCACGAGTGTTGGGAGGTGAGGCCTGGGTGCCATCTTGGAGGCTGGCTCCCACTCCAGGAATGAATATGGCCTCCCTCACCACCCATTCTGGACTCACCCAGTGACTGTTACTGGATACCTACTATCTGTGGAGCGTTGTCAACAAGAGGTACATGGTCCTGTCCTCGTGGCGGTGACTCTGCAACGGCAGGTGGGGTGGGGAAGAGGCAGAGAAACAGAGGGTGGAACATCAGCAGGCGCTTGCAGGGAAGGATCATCTCTGTAAAGAAGGACATAGATACAGGATGGAAATGCTGGAAAGGACGATCAGGGAGGGCCTCTCTGAGGAGATCTGTGACAACAGATCTGAATGAGGAACAGGAAGTACATTCTGGGGGAAGGGAACAGCACGTGCAAAGGCTGGAGGGTGGAACAGAGCTCAGGATCTCAAGGGACAGAGGACAGGCAGTGAGGGGTGGCACATGGGGAGCAGGGGTGAGCAGTGGGAGCAGCTAAGAGATGGGGAGGCCAGACCCGGGGGGGACTGGGGGCCACGGTAAACGGTGTGGGCTTTATCCCAAGTGCATTGGGACTGATCCAATGACTTGTCCCCAAGATGGGAGTCACTGGGTAAGTTGAGTGATGGGCCACCAGCCGGGCACGACCAGAGGAGATCTGCTTGGGCAAGATGGGCCTGCCCTTAGCACAACTGGGACACAGGTGAGGCCCGCCAGCTTCACCCAGTCTCCTCCCAGGCACTCCCTCCTGGCCACACTTGGGTCACGCATCTCATACCCACACCAGGAAACCACATGCAAGGGTGTGGCCAGCCAGTCAGGGAGGAAAAGGCTCTGAATAAAGCTGGTTACGAAAAAGCTTCACCCAAGAGAAGCTTCCTAACATCTTTTAACATCTCAAGCTCAGTCTGGAAATGATCCCACCAATCTCTCTCCACGTCTTTCAAAAAATCAAAGAAGGAAAAAGTGACTCTTGTCTGGGCTGTAAGCAAAGAGCCCGCAAGTACAGGGAAAGCCCGTTAGGTTTTGGAGTTCTTAAAACATCAAACCTGCAACTGTGGGACCCTCTGAACCTCTTGTTTCACCAAGCTTCCTTGATTTTGTTTTCTTTTTCACTTTTTCATAACCCCTTCCGTCCTCCCCAGAGAGTACAGTATAGAATCCATGCATAATAAATGCTTGAATCGTAACTGCGACCGCGAGAGGCAGAGCCAGGTCCTCCTTGCCCCCTACTCCCGCAGGACGTCCACATTCTAACAGCCCATGGCTACGTTACCTTCCACGGCAAAAGGGATTCTGCAGGCGTGATTAAAGTCAAGGAACTTGAGAGGGAACATTGCCCCAGATTATCCAGGTGGGTCCAGTCTCATCACAGAAATACATAAAATTGGAGAACCTCTCCCAGCCGTGGCCCCGAAGAGACACAATGGCAGAAGAAGGGTCAGAGGGATGGGACACTGGTGGCTTTGAAGATGGAGGAGGGGGGCATGAACCCAGGAATGCTGGCGCCTCTCAAAGCTGGGGAAATTGAAGGAAATGGAGTCTCCCACAGAACTTCCAGAGAGAACGCAGCTCCACTGACACCACGAGTTTAGTGCAGCGAAACCTGCTGTGGACTTCTGACCTTTGAAACTATCAGAAAATAAAAACGGTTGTTGTTTTAAGCCACTAATTTGGGGTAGTTTGTTGTGGAAGCCAAAGAATCTCATCCAGCAATTCTAACGCATGCCTCTTCCTTCCGCTCTGCGGCAAGACGCACATCCCTCTGGAAGATACATTCTGTTACTTTGGAGATGGGATAGGTTTTAGCCAGGACTTTTTCATCTGCAAGACCCTAAGACCCAACTCAAAATGGCTTAAGAAACAAACAAACAAAAAAGGAATGTCTTGACTCACTTACATGGGAAGTGAAGAGTCCGGGGCACGGTTAGATTAAAATAACTATCATCAAAACCATCTCCAGTCCTGCCCTCTGCCATCAGTCCTCCTTCTCCGCAGGGTCTCTCCCCAGCTGACATCCTCTCTGCTTCAAACCCAGTGGAGACAAAATGTTCACACCCTGACTTGTGTGAACAGAAGTTCTCAGCCTGATGGTGATTGGTCAGAACTGGGTCACATGACTATCCCCCAACCAGTCATGTGGCCAGAGAGGTACAGTGTTCTGATTGGCCAGGTCCGGGTCCCATGACCATGCCGGCAGACAGCAAATGATGGAGTATGTGAATAAGGAGAGAGAGCTCCTCGAAAAATGTCGGATGCTGATACCGAGAGATGGAGAAAGGGGTATTGAGTGTCAAAACGAGTGTATGCTGCAGGAACACTGGGCTTCATCTGTTTACTAGAAGGTCAGCGGGGCCACCACGTGCCCCCTTGCATGACACAGTGTCTGGGGGGCTTTGGGGTACCAGCTGCAGAGACGATTCTTGCAGTGACCCTCAGGCCCACCCTTCCCGGCCACTCCAGCCTGAGGAGCGGACACTGGCACGGACTTCTCACCCCCATGCGAAAGTCACCTCCAGGCCTGGGCACAGGCACGCAGCCCTGGGGTCTCTTCCAGGTTCTCTCCAAACCGTTTCCCATCCTGCAGCTGCCCTCTTGGAATCCCTCCGGATGGCTTTCTGTCATGCTGGGACTGGGAACATTCACTCTTGTGTTTGTTTTCACAGAGTTTGCAAACTTGAGTCTTGGCCCGAAACCAGGGAAATAATCGGCTTTTTCCATCCGCCCACCACCATCCCCAACTGGCCTCCGGAAAAGCCCTGGGAACGCTGCGGGCAGGGCTTCTGGTACCCCAGCTGAAGCTCCCAGCCGGCGAGGCCGGCTTGCCAGCCCTTGGCACCTGCCCGCCGTGCTTGGGCTCCACGTCTATTGCCTAAGCTAAATCTTTCTTTCCTGTGAGTGGGGGTTTATCCTCTCCCAACTACCCGGCTGCCTTGCCAGATGCTCAGCCATGGCTCCAAAGGTGGAGACCCCGCTGGGACTCAGAGCCCAGGGCCCGAGGCCCCTCACCTTTCCCACAGGTCTCTGCGATGCCCCACCTTCAAGGTCAGACACTATGGAACCGAAGGCCAAAACACATTCACCCCAGGACGTGAGTCCTCCCGTCAGCCGCAGAGAGTGAGTCACAGCCAGCTCTGCGCAGGCTGCACGAAACTGGCCCGGCCAGACCAAAATACTTCGGGCTAATTCATTTGGCAAGAGCATCAAGGGCCAAAGAGGATCGAGTCCAAGTTTTCTCCTCTTTTTAAAGATAAAACAAAACAGAAACAAAAACAAACCCTGGCACGGAGAGAGGCAGAACTCAGATTGCCTTTCATCTTCCGGGCTCGCTGGGGTGGAGATGCCGCGAGGGCAGGACTCCTGCCTGCTCTTGCTCATCATCGTTCATCCTGCGCCTAACATCGTCCCCGGCACACAGTAGGTGCTCAAGAAATGTTTGCCCCCCGGTGTTCCAGTCACCATTGCTACATGGGAGCCGCCTGAAACCCAATGACGGAAGACAACCGCTTTGTTATGCCGAGTGCTGCGGGTTGAGAATTTGGACAGGGCACGGCGGGGACGGCTTGCCTCCGCTCTGCAGCGTCTGAGGTCTCAGCTTTGAAGACCCAAGGCTGGGGGTGATTCAACAGCTGGATGCTGGACTCACCCGGCGGTGTCTTCGCCTGCTTGCCCGGTGTTCGCTTCCTGTGGCTTGGGAGCTCGGCCAGGTTGTCAGACACGACACCTGCGTGTGGCCTCTCCACGTGGCCCTTCCACGGGGGCAGCTTGGGCTTCCTACCAGCACGGCAGCATCGTCAGAAGAATCAGGAGGAAGTGGCATCACCGTTGGTGTCGTATTCACAGAAGTCCAGGAGCATCACTTCTGTAATCACCAGCCCATTCCGATTCAAAGGAAGGAACACAGAACTCTCCTCCTGATGGGAGAGCTAGGGTCAAAGTCATACTGTACGGAAAGCATTCAGAGTTGGAGAAAACAACATATCAGTCTGGGCGGTCCTAGGGTGTGGGTTAAAAGAGAAGCCAGATCAACGTCAACATCTCAGTCATGACACTGTGACTCAGTTTGCAAGATGTCTTCATTTTTAAGGAGACTGGGTCAAGATACACGGGATCTCTCTGTGTTATTTTTTTATGATCCTCCAGTTATTTCAACAAAAATTTCAGTGAGAAGAATGTGAAGCCAGGCTCGTAGGATTCGAATCCTGATTCGGTCACTAATCAGCTGGGCAAATGCAGACCCAAGACTTAATCTCTCTGTGCCTGGTTTCCCACCCATAGGATGGGGCCAGGGGCCAGTAACGACACATGAGTCCCCAGAATAGGACAAAACGCCTTTCCCCTGGACCCACGGGCACCCGAGACGACACACATATTCCGAACAATCAGAAAGAGAAGGTTGGTGAATATTCTGGAAAGACCGCGACGTGTTTGCCCCAGACATCGGCTGGAAAGTTGTCTCCTGGCCAGCTGACGTTGGCTGCGGGAGCTGCCTGTGTCGTCAGTAAAAAGAGCCAGGGTGAAGAAAGACAGCAAGTGTTTCAAAGATCTGGTCTGTGGCCAGAGAGTCAGGACACACGGGACCCCACAGAATAAGCCTGACTGGCAGCCCGTGTGCTGACCCTTCCCCGGTGCTGAAAGGTCTGAGTGTGGAAAACCGAACACGGACGTTTGGGAGCTGGAGGACCTCACGAGGTGCCAAGCTCTTTGGCTCTATTCTCGTATTTACTGCTTACAACGGCTTATGAGGCACTGTTATGATGTTCCCCCACTTGACAGACGAGTTTGGGGAGGCTCAGAGAGGTCGCCATTCTCCTAAGGCCACACAGCTTGGACGTGGAGCAGAACGTGGCTGGAAGCCAGCTGGCTGGTTCATACGCCGGCTTCCTTTGGCTGCGTCTTCTCCTTGGCCTGCTCCTCCCTGCTGCCCAGATCAGAGGGGGCCCCTCAGGCTCTCGGCATTCCAGGCCTCCTGCTGCCCCTGGAGGAGCCTCGATCTTAACTCCTGCACCTGCATTTTTGCCAGGAGATGCGCTCAGATGAGAGCTTCTCCCTGTGCTAGGTGCACTGACAGCCCAGAGCAGGTGCAGCCAGCAGAACCCATGTTACTTGGTGTTGACAGCAGCCCCTCCACACCTCGGCCTCCGGAGCTCTGCTGGGGTCAGCCTCGCCTGATGGCTGCCACACACGTGCAGGTGAGGGCCACCCGAGGGAGGCAGCAACAGGGGCCCCGCAGCTAGACCACGTGCATTTAAGTCCCAGCCGGCGACCTTGACCTCAGTTTCCTCATCTGTGAATTGGGCATCACAAGAGTACTAACATCCTGGGGCTCTCTGGAGGATTAAATGATGTGATGCATGCAAAGAGCTTCGGGTTCCCCAAGGAAGAAGCCTAGATAAAGTTAGCAAAAGAAAGGGACATGACGCCTGGTGACCAAAAAGCATAAAAGTCAACATCACGTCCTTCCTGTGTGGGGTAGAGTGGGGGCGGGGCGTTCTAAAGCCTCTTCGGGACCCTCCTGAAAGAAAGTGGAGTAGCGTGTTTATTCTCAGGTCACGTCCGCGCCGCCACCACCCCGCTGGCCGTCGGGGGAGCTCCACGCCCGGGCCCTCTGCCGGCTGGCTCAGGGCAGGCTCACGCGGCAGGCG